CCCCCCCCCCAAGCATTACTGAATTGACTAATTTCTCTTTCTCTCCTTTCCATCTCCAAGATAAGAAAAAGATCTGTACAGCCTATTCTAGATACAGAAACTGAAGGACAAACTGCTCGTGTTTGTGTAAGGACTTTAAAATAAAGCGTAGGATAGATTGAAGGTCTCTTAATTTTCAGTGCCTTTATCGTAGGAAGCTATCTTCCTTTTTGACCTTATGTTGGCACAAAGAATATGTTTTAAAGTGTGCCACATGCGGTGTTACCACCACAATGATAATCGTGCTGCTTTTAAAATAACTTAGAACTAAAATTCTTAGAAAATGCCTAAATCTCTTTCAAATCAGTTTTTATTTTAAGTATTATTTATGTAGAAGAGGAAATAATAGAAGTACAGCTTTAACAAGTTCAGTTCAGTGCTTGGACGCCCTGCCACGTTCCTCTTTGTGCTGTAATCCCAACACGCAGGCATCTTTGTGGGAGAGATGGGGGCGTGAGTCTTGGCATGAGTGACCTAGGCACAAACTAGGAGTGAATTTGAAGTGCTTTGCAAGCCAGCCTTTGGCTCTGCAAAGAAAATCCAAAGTGGATCCTACAAATGGATCCAGCCCTGCAGGGTCCCGCTGAAGCCGACTGCACGCGACGGTGTGGTCAGCTGGGTGGATCCATCAGCAGGCTCTCACCACTGCTGGGGTCCAGATCCCCGTGCAAACTGTTCATGCCCTGTTTTTCAGCCTCAGACCGCACACACAAAACCTGCAGGGTGAAAGATACAAACTACATTTAAAAACCTTTGCTGCAATGTTTATTGTACGTGTAGCTCTTTTCCCCTGTCTCCTGTAGCACCTCGCTCGTGCAGGTGCATTGAGGACTCATTTTGGTAAAAACCAGATCATAACATCTGCCTTTGAGTTTTATTTCAGTAGTGAACTCCTTTCACTTCAATTTCTCTTGATTTCATTGAAAGTCTCCTTTCAGTAAGGACTCCTGAGATCTGCCTTGTTGTAGTCTCATTTAATGGCATTGGAATTTGCTTACAAAAATGTTAATTGTAAAATTCGTTCGGGGCAGGAGTGAGCATCTGTCTAGCTAATCAAAATCTGTTTGCATGTATTTGTGACTGGATGACTCCTGTGGGAAATCAGCCCAATTTTATTGTAACTTCTTTGGATACATGTGCTGCACTGAGCGACCGAATGCATCGTCTCGTGGCAGCTTTCATGTCTTTGCAAGAGGATATGGGGGAAGCTTTAGTAAGAAGATGTTAACAGGCTCATCTTAGTCAGCAAACTAGGTGTCACTTCTTAGCCAGTTCATTAATGTTGGATCAAAGCAGAAAAAAGGGTAGAGGATATTTTTTTTTAAATGCCTAAAGACCTTTACAAACCGACAAAACTACCTTTAAATGTTTTTTGTTTCCTAATGCTGTGGGAAGAAGCCCTTAGACTTGCATTGGGTTGTTTTTGTGGGAAGATGTCATTTTCTGAAAAAAGCTGGAGATCGTTGTCTACCTTTCATGCTTATTCTTTTGAAGACATTACACGGGAAGCTGTAACAAGGTGAAAATTCCCTTATTTCTGATATACTGTGCATAAGATCTGATCAGACTGAGAGGTGGAAAAATCTCCCTTTTGAACAAAAAAATAACACCTCACCCCGGAGCAGCGGCCCGCCGGCGCTGAGCTGAGCTGAGCACTGCTGTGGGTGCCCCGGTGCGGAGCTGGCTCATCACCACCTCCTTCAGCCCCCGCAGCAGTGTGGAGTGTGTGCGGACCCCTCCCGCCTGTGAAATCAGCCCGCCGGGAGCTATACCAGGTCGGGTTTTGACCTAAAATGAAACTGGTTGGTTGGTTTGGTTTTTTGTTTGGTTGGTTGGTTTTTTTTCCCTGGGCTGTTCAGTGTGGCAGCAGCAATCCTGCGTGTGTTACAATACAGTTAAGAGTGCCTCTATAGGAGGTTTTTAATCCAAACAGCTTTACAGAGGTGGTGGGTACCATCAACACCAAAGACAGTGCCTCCAGAATCATTTCCCTTTGCTCTTCCCCAGGACCATAGTTAGTCCTCTGCCTGAAATAGAGCCTGCTGTGCCTCCGCACCTTCCACCGCCATCACAGCCTCCTCGGTGCTCTCCATCTCCACGTCTGGTTCAGACCAGGCGTCCTCTTTTCAGAATATTCTGTGGTCTGGCTCCGTCACCTCTCTTTCTTGCCTTCACTTCCATTTGGGTCTCCTGTCTGTCCTTTCTTTGTCCTCTGGAGAGATTTTTCACCTCCGCTACCGCCTATCTGTCGTTTTCTCCCATTACCCACTGGTACACTTAAAATCTTTCCAATCCTTTTGGCCTTCATTTTATTCTCTCAGTCAAGTGTTTTGTGTAACCCTGATCATACCAGCACAGGAATGAAAGTGGATTGTGGCTACCTGCCAGCATGAGTTTTGGAACAAACAAAGTCAGGTGGAGTTTGTACAACGCACGAATCTTTACAAAAGAATTTATCAGCTAAACCCAAACCCATTGGAAAAGCCTTTATGCCTCTGAGCCTACGAAGTAACAAAACGCCTTTGAAGAAAAATAATGGATTGTCTTAAAGAGGTTTATTGTGGCGCAGACTCCCCAGTTCTTGGCAGCACCTGCGACCTTCACGGGTGAGATCACAGCATTCAGCTCCCTGAGCTGAACCAGCGCCGTGCGCTGCGTGGAGGTTTGGGGCTGAGACGTACCGTGGCCAGAGGGGAGGAGTGACGGCCACGCGTACGGACCCCCTCGGGTACAACAACACGTGAAATTCGGTAGCTCCCTGTACTGGAGGGTGCTGGGAGGGCCGATGTGGGTGCTGCGTCTCAGGGCCCTGTCCCTGAGCAGGAGATGCTGCTTCGTGTCACCTTCCCTCCGACCTGTCTGAACTTACTGTTTTCTCTCTCTCGCGGTAGACGTGAAAGCGCCGTGTGAGGCACTTCCTTCCCCCAGCCTGGAGCCCTACCCGCAGAGCTCCATTGTGGTCACCCTTGAGGACATGGGTCTCTGGATGAAGTTTCATCAGATAGGAACCGAGATGATCATCACCAAATCTGGCAGGTGAGGGGAGCAGGACAGCTGCCCACACCGCACCCCTCCAAGCTGTTGTCAAAATCTCCAAGTGCTCATTTTTTGGAATGGTGGCCCTTAAACTAGTTTTGTAGCCCATTACGCACATCTCCCTGCCCCTGGCAGAAGAATTGCGCTTTGAGGGTGTCATCGAAGTCCAAAGCGTGAAGTGCAAGAGGTGACTGTGGGGCTGATGTGCTGAGAAAACTTGGGTACCCTTATCTCACCACTTAACACTGACGTTCTTCCTTGCTGCGAGGCTGCTCTGGAAAGTGCCCTGGGCTTCCTTTGCCTCCGTCACAGGCAGCAGCAGTTGGGCAGTAAATGCCTGCGTTTGAGTCTGTGTTTGCAGACAAGAACGTGGCGTAGAATAGTAACGATCTGCGCGTGCAGACTACTCTAAAGTTTAAATGAGTCATGCGTTGTGGAGCTTACAGTGGAAGAGTATGAAATTGTGCAACTGGAATGTATTATGTCAAAGCTGCTGTGAGCTGAAATAATCCCTTTGGGCCGGGAGGTAGGTGTCAAATCTTTTTTGCATAGTCAGAAGATGAAAGCGATGGCAGGGAGTACCGGAATGGAAAGCTGGAGATGCTTTTAGATGAGAGCACGTTTTCTACCCGCACTAGAAAATGCTCTAAACCATCCTCCAGGTCTGTAATAGCTGCAGAAGGCTAGGAGCTAGGTGCAAATCCCAAATATTTTCTTTTAAGTTTCCCATTGTTGTGTTACAGGAATCAGAAGAACAAAAGCAGTAACAATGTCAGGCCTTCAGTGGTGGCTGCCCTGTTAGTACCTATTCCACCCAAACCCGTAGGACTAGACAGTACATCAGTAAGATAGAAAAATGTCCAATAGCTGGCCTGTAGAAATACTGCTACCAGAACTTGGCACAATAGTGAGTAAACGCGGCATGCTGCTTGATCATTAGACAATACCCACTTTATAGAGAAATCCTTATGCTGGATATTTCATTTCTCCCTCAGACGAATGTTTCCACAATGCAAAATCAAAGTCTCTGGCTTAATCCCGTATGCCAAGTACCTCATGCTGGTAGATTTTGTGCCAATGGACAACTTCAGGTACAAGGTAAGTACTTTAAATAACAGAATTTATGCTGTCCTTCCATCTTTGTTGGAAATAGATTAATCTTTATGCTTTACTGGCCAGGCTGATAAATAAATTGTCTTTAGACAAAGTTCAGAAGTAATTGGTGGATTTTATGCCTCAAGTTATTTGTCAGTTTTTCTTGGGGAGCAGCTGGAAAGGTAACGAATTTTCATTGTAAGCAGAACAGTTTTAGTCGTGATTAACATCATACGCCTCTGACAGCCGTTGGGAGAAAGGGAGGCCTAAACCTGGAGCTGTTTTGATAACATGATCATGGCTCCTAAGAGAGAATCTACTACTTGTGCTTCAGAGGAGTCCACTAAATTGACAGCGAAGCAGAGTTGCTGGGGCTTTCCTGTAGTGAAAGTAGGGGTTTTTTTAAGCTCTAGATTTCTGTCTTTCTGTTCACAGTGGAATAAAGATCAGTGGGAAGTTGCTGGGAAAGCAGAGCCCCAGCTCCCTTGTCGCACCTACGTCCACCCAGATTCCCCAGCTCCTGGCAGCCACTGGATGAAGGAACCGGTCTCCTTCCAGAAACTGAAGCTCACCAACAACACTCTGGATCAGCACGGACATGTAGGTTGTAGCTGGCCTTTGTGCTGTGCTCTCTTGGAATTCGTTGCAGATGGATGTTAGGGGAAATAAGTGAGATCTGTGAGAAATTAGGTCACATGGAAATTAAAACATATCCAAGTGCCCACCCTTCCTTCCTCAGCCCAGTCCTTGTGCCCTCTTAACTATCTGCTAGGGAAGGCTGAGGTCTGTACTGTCACTGTAGAGGTGT